GAATCAGCCTCTAGGGTCAACCCGCCTGGGTCAACTCCCAGCTTTGCTTCTTACTGGCTGGGCCAGTTAACCTTGGACAAGTTACTTCATCTTTGTGAGCCATCTCTTTGGGTAACTAAGTGAATTAAAGGAAAAGATGCGGGTAAAGATCTTAAAACAGTGCCTGATACATTATAAGCTCTTAAAAAATGGTAGCTATTACTAATTATTATTACTTAAAGACCACTTAGTTCTAAGTACCTATGCCCAACCACTGAACCCCATTCTGTGTCCAATGCAGATTCTTATTCCATCAGCTAGCCAAGAAGTTCATATTCTTTTGGAATTTTACACATTCCCATCTTTGGATTAGGATGAGTTTTTTATGGCCTTTTCTGACCAGCAAAGGAGGCAGCAATTGTCTCTTGGTCCTTTAAGTCCTCCCTGAAAATAAGGACTGAGAGGCCTCTCCTGACCCCAGTGCTGCAGGCATCTGTCCCGGTCTTCAGTTCCCAGAGGGCCCTCCCACCTCATTTATTCTTCCTTCTTTTCAGCCCTCTTTAACCTTCCACTCTCTTTTCAACCTAGCTGTTTATTTTGCAAACACCATTCAGTCCCTTCAAGCTTTCTTCCCCACTAGTATTTAATAGAACAGCTCTAGACTTAGCACAGAGACACATAAGACAATATCCTTTAATTTCTTAAGTTTGGAACAGATAAGCAAAAAAGAAAGAAGCATAAGTGTATATTAACAGTTTTGTATTAGCCAAATAAAACCTACAGAGATAAAGACAGATATTGAGTGACATACCTGGTTTTTATGGTAAAAGGCTACCTACCAATCAAAGGGCATAAGTGTTTTGTGGGAGAGAGAGGCGTGTTTTACTTCCTGATTCCTGTCCCTCCTTTCCAGCAGTGATCCAGGCTCCCTCCAGCCTCTGATCCTGAGTCTTCTCCAACTCACAGACTTTTCCTGTTGCTCTGTGATTCCAAGACCTTCTCCACAACTAGGCCATTTTCCCTCTCAGGTTTTCTTTTTTGACCTTTAACCTCTGACTCAAAGGTCAGCTCAAAGTTTCCAAACTTGGGCCTGGGATGGGAGGCGGAACAAGAGCTTAAGTTCCCCAAATCTTTAGGCCTGGGCCCCTAAGTCTCTCCCTTTAGGCCCCTCACTCCAGGTCTGAGACTTTGTATCCCAAAATTGACCCATGAGTTTCTAAATCTAGCCCTGGAGGATGAGTTAACTCCTACTAAATTCCCCCCCCGCAAGCCTCCCAACACACCCCAGCCCGCCCCAGCCCCATATAACAAATCTGGTTCCAAATTTAAGGACTCCCCACCCTTTGAACCCTCAAATCCTATGAGTCGGCCCCAATCCCTATTCCCATTGTTTCAAATTTTAGCCCTGGTTCTTTCAAACCCAAGCCTCAGCCCCCAAATTCTGGAATTCAGCTCTAAAATTTTTAAAATCTTCATCCCTGAGACTAACCCCTTTTGGAGGACCCTTCCCTCTCCCATTCTCAACCCTTCAGTCCCTCCTGTAGACTCCAAAAAGACTTCTCCATGCTCTCCCCTAAAACCAACTATCCCTCCTCTAAGAACCCCTGCACTGCCCCCCAAAATAAAGAAATGATAAATAGATGAGGTGACAGTTATGCTAATTACCCTGATTTCATCATTCTACAATGTATACCTGTATCAAAACCTCACATCGCACCCCATAAATATATGCAATTATTATTTGTCAATTAAAAATAAAACTTTAAAAATTTAAAAAAATAAAAGGGCATAAGCAATCTGGTGTTTATGAAATTAATGGTTTTATAAGAAATTAAAAACAATTTTGAAGTTTTTTTCTTCCCCTTTGCTATACTTTTAGTATTAGTATCTATAAATAATGCGTGTAAATTAGTCTTTTATAATTTAATCTTCTACACATGTAACTAAAAGATGAATATATTGCATTTGCTGCCCCACTAGCCTATGTTTCTGGTGCTTTACGCGTTTGTCCCACTCACCAGTTTTCCTCCTTCCCATTCCTTGCCCCCATCCCAATCCCAGAAGTATATAGGGAAGTATTAATATATCCGGCTGTTCTCAAACACAAAGAATGACAACTCCAGGCTTAGGGGATGTAAAAGTTGAAAGAGCAGAAACTCAAAACCATGAGGCAGTGAATGACTAGACTAGGAAGACAGAGCAAACATGACCATTCCACAGAGGCCAGAGTAGGGATGGAGCTGAGGGGGAGAGAGAAAGCTGGCCAGAGACAGGGCTGACCAGAGGTGAGGGGGCACAGCAGGAGTTCCCAACACCCAGGGTCACATGGTGGCTGCAATGAACAGAGAGGAGTAGAAGGGTAGGGTCAGCTGATTATAAAACCTAAGCTCAGGATCTTGAGATTAGGACAGAAATAAGCCTGTGGTTAAATGGTTCACCTTCTGGAAATGACACAAAAGACACCTATGGTTAAACAAGCTTATTCTACTGAATGTGAGGCTAGATGTTGATTGTTGTTTTTGTCATCTTTTTATTTTTTTGTTCAACTTTCCTGGGCCAGGCCCCTTTTTCCTAAGGGACAACCTGGCTGGAGGTGTTTCCCATCCTGGAGTTCTATCCTCCTCTCAGTCTCCACTCAGGTCACTTTGTTTGTAAGCACATGCACACGCACACATCGCAGTGTGCTTGGCCATCCCACATGCTCCACAGCCCACCAGCTTTCTGGACTGCTCGTCCCTCAGTGGCCTGGGACAAAGCAAACACAGCAGATGCTTCCAGCACTCACTTTTCCTCCAACAAACCTGACTTTAACTTTTGAGAAGGGAGAGGTCAAAGACAAGGTATGAAGCCCAAAACACCAATAGGCAACCTTTATCTATTTCACAGTCTCACCCAGGGTTAGCCTGGTTTACTTTCAAATATATGTATTTTAAATTGTGCATAGCCACTGTGCTTAAAGAGTCCACAATTCTAGCCATACAAAAAAAGTAGCTGCACCTTAAATAATTGATGCTTTGACCAAAGGCAGGACTCTGGGTCTAGATGTATACTCACCTAGATCCCTTTGTACACAGTACCATGGCCACTAATAAATATGAAATGCAAACTAATGCACCAAAACAATAGCTATAAATATGTAGTGGGTGGTGACCAGTTCCTTAGCCCTACTGAGGACTTCATCTAAGGAAGCAGACTTATATTAAAAGAGGATAGGTATTTCCTAAGCGCTTCTTGAGTTTATAAAGAAAATTTTTTTTCTAATTTAGCCTTTGACTTTGGAAATAATCTACCAATATCACGGTCATCATATTGGACAGCACAAATCTAAAAGGATTTCCTGCCTATAGAAAATCCCAAAGGGTCTCTACGATAAATTTTTACATCAACTTGGCTGGGCCATGGTGCCCAGTTATTTGAACAAATATTCTGGATGTTTCTGTGAAAGTGTTTTCAGATAAGATTTACATTTAAATTGGTGGACTTTGAGTAAAGCAGATTGCCCTGCAATAATACGTGTGGACCTCGTCCAATCAGCTGACGGCCTAAACAGAACAAAAGGCTGAGCCTTTCCTGAGCAAGGGGGAATGCAGCCAGCTGACAACCTCTAGACTTTATCTGCAACTTGGGCTCTTCCTGGTTCTACAACAGACTGTCTTTGGATTCAAAGTACAACTCTTCCCTGAGCCTCTAGCCCACCGGCCTCCCCAGTCAGATTTTGGACTGGCCAAGCTTCCACAATCACAGGAGCCAATTCCTTAACATAAATCTCTTTCTGTATGTATATATACACATCCTATTCATTCTGTTTCTCTGGAGAACCCCGACTAATGCAGACTCTAAGTCAAACTTACAGTCTTACCTTTTTTGCTAAGGAATTCCTTCTAACAGCTCTGTACCCACTGGCTTTCACATCACGCGTCAGGAAACTGAAACTTCTGCATATGTTTCTCAGATCTGCAAGTGGTATTGCTCCGGTGGCTTCCTTTCCCATAGCCAGCTAAATGGGAACTGGAGAATAAGGGAGAGAATCATCAAACACATTTTTAAAAGTTTATAGCTGGCTGGGCGTGGTGGCTCACGCCTATAATCCTAGCACTCCGGGAGGCCAAGACGAGAGAGAATTGCTTGAGCTCAGGAGTTCAACACCAGCCTGAGCAAGTGTGAGACCCCCCCCCACCCCCGTCTCTACTAAAAATAGAAAGAAATTAGCTGGACAACTAAAAATAAATGTCGAAAATATTAGCCGGGCATGGTGGCATATGCCTGTAGTCCCAGCTACTCGGGAGGCTGAGGCAGTAGGATTGCTTGAGCCCAGGAGTTTGAGGTTGCTGTGAGCTAGGCTGACGCCATGGCACTCACTCTAGCCTGGGCAACAGAGCAAGACTCTTGTCTCAAAAAAAAAAAAAGTTTATAGCTAAGTGTGTAGAAACATTGGCACTAGAGACTGATCCGGCATCTTTTTATCTCCCTTTCACACGATATTATTTCATTTATATTTGGTGAACAGGAAGATTGATCTACACCCTAATTTGTCAAGATCCTGGAATGGTAAAGAACATAAAATGTCAAGCACATAAAATATGTGGATTTTTAGTCTTTTCCACAGTATTTGCATGACTAGATATAATTACAAAGTCTATGTGTTTGTTTTTCATATGACGTTCCAGTACAGTGCTTCCTCTACGCCCTTAAGAAATAAAAAACTTTAAGAAAGCAAACAAAAACTCTATTCTATTACCACTGTGACATCCGAAGGCACAGCTTGCCAGCGTCCCAAAGCACTTTGACCCCGCACGACTCCCGCCCTCTTCCCGCGCTCCCGCCTCCTCCACTCTCCCAACTGGCGGGAGGAGGGCGCCCTCCCAGCCAATCAATGCTCCAAGAGGCCCTCCTCCCGCGCGTCTTTCAAAGGCCTTCTAGGAACCAATGAGCAGTTAGAGACCGAGCCTGGGCACCCGGAGGCGGAGTAAGAAACAGGGAGAGGATCTTATTGGTTCCTAGATGACGCCGCGCCCCACCTCACGGAAGGACGTACCAATGAGCAGAGGGGAGGGGTGGGCGAGGCTGAGGCAGCGGCTGAGACGCCGGTCCTGCGGAGAGGGGCGGCACTGGTCACGACGTGGGGCGGCCAGCGATGAAGCCGGTGAGTCGGGCGGGCGGGGGCTTGGAGGAGCGAAGCCTCAGGGACAGGAGCGGTCCCGGATGCCAGATCTTAGGCCAGCGGGCAGCCTGGGCCGGATCGCGCGGCAGGACTCGCGCAGTAACCGTCCCGTGATGGGTCGGGGCGGTGGCGCTTCCCCGCACGGGCAAGAGAGACGGCTGCTACAGAGCGAGACCCCGCGGAACCAGGTGGTGGACGAGGGGAAGACGGACGTTCGCGGTGCGCCTGCTGGGGGCTGCCGCCTGCAGGGTCTCATAAGCCTCTCAACAGCCCTGCCAAACACAGCCAAGCCCCGCTGTACAGAGGAAACTGAGGCATAGACAGCTTAAGTTTCAGCGTTTCGGTCGGGGTGATATCCCAACCCTGAAGGGTGTCCGCGGGCTGCCCTGCGCCCACTGGGGAAACCGTATGAATGCCACGTCCCGGCTTGTGGGCGACATCATGACTGTCATCATCCCCCAGGGCCACCTGGCATTGCGTCCCTTTCCCTGAGGCTCAGAGGCACTGGGCCTGGGGCAGTGGAAACGCCCAGCTCTGTTAGGATTTATAAACCTGGCTGGCAGAGGCTGAGTGAATGGCCCACACAGATTTAAAGTCTTGAATCATCAAAGCTGCTTTAAAGAAAAAGAAAGAAAAAAACAGACGCAGGCAAGGAGCCGAAACCCCACCTCATTACCTACCACCAGGTTGACAACCTATTTGAAGCTTCTTCTTTGGGGTTCAGTTGATTATAATACTTCCCATAGATCCAAAGCAACTAAAATCCATAGCCTAAATTGGTTCTGTCATGTGTTCTTCTAGTAACAAGACCATTATAGAATATAGCTTCAGAGCTAGCAAGGGCATTAGGTGGTTATACTTGCTAATCCCCATGTTTCCATGTGGAGGGACTTTCAGCTGTCCTTCACTCCTGGCCTCTCTCTCCACCTGTCCCCAAAAGGGCAAGAGTGAGTTATCTGATCCTGCAGTTTGGAAGGAACTGAACACAAGTAGCTCAACTTTTTCTTCCCTTCTCTCTTGAGATCTACCTGCCTGCCTGCAGAAGGTGCTTTCTGGTCTACTGTCTGTCAAAAATCACTCGGGAAACCTGAACTGTCTGCTTCTGCCTGTGACTGGGTACCAAGTCTGTCTAATTCTGGGGTGTAGAATTGGCAAGCCCACTTGGCCACAGCTTTAAGCTACATCCTCCATTTGACACTCAATAATAAAACTAACATTTTGATCTTCATTTGCCTTGCCAATGTCTTATCTCTCAGGTGGTTCCAACTAGGGAGTGGGAAAAGGGTGTGTTTTTTAATTGGTCCTTTAAAATTCCAGCGGAGTATAGAAGTCTTCCAGGTAGAAATGTTGCCTATGTGATTGAGTTCCAACTTCTTAGATCAGCATACAAAGTCCATCTCAATCTCTCTAGTCCAGTGATTCAAAAAGTTGGGAGGAAGGTTAGTTCACCTATATTCCCCCCACCAAACTACCGGGCTGTATTGAGGTGGTTTTTTGAGAAATGGGGCAAAGTTTAGATGAAGCTAAAACTTCTTCTCTAGCTTCATCTCCTCTGCTACATCTCTACTTTGATAACACAGTTCCTGAATACACAAGCCCTTTCTTCTTTTGCCTTAATTGCTTTAACTTCTTCCCTATCTGCCTAAAAACCTCCTGCTCTTCCTTCAAAACCCAGCTAAAGCATCTCCTCTGTGAAGCCTTCTCCAGCTCCCTAAGTGGTCAGTCACTCTCTTCTCTGCCCCACAGTGTGTAGTTCCTGCTTCTGTTTTAGCACTTAACACCTTAAGTAGGCAAGCTGCTTATCTTATGGATCTTTTGCATCTCCAGAGTTTGGCAAGTGAAGGTGTCTAAGAAATTTTTGTGAATGAATAAATCTCCTCACTTTATAGTTGAGGAAGCCTGAGATCCAGAATAAACTGAAGTGGTTTATTGGAGATTATACAATGAATGGCAGAGCTACAACCAGAAGCCAGGTTTCTTGGCTCCCAATCCAACTCTCTTTCCACTATGCAGTGCTGTAATTATTAATAGCATGGTAAACAGCAATCATTTACCATTGATATGACTGATCTTATATTCAGATTGGTAACTGAATAAATTGCAAATAGGAGTTCAGTGTGTATTTAAACTAGGATTAGCTATACAAAAGTTACGTATAAATATTTTTTACAGTTATTTAACATAACATTTCTTTTGAAGCCTAGTTCAATACAACCAAGTGAGTTTGACTCATCAGACGAAGAGCCCGTTGAAGATGAACAGACTCCAATTCAGATATCATGGTATGTTATCATTTCTGATCAATGATGAGCTAAAATATTTGATTTTACATAATAATCTTAGTATTATAGAATGTAGTCCACATATTGAAACTATTGAGTCTCTTTTGCTGATTATATAATTCTAAGCTTTAAGGGATCTTCTAACTCCACAATTCATTTACCATCAATGATACAGAATAAGGTCTTTTTAGGGGGGGGGGTCCTTCTTTATATATTGAGAAAAGCTTAGTAGAAGCAAGTTAGTAAGGAGAAGATGTAGGATTAAAATGAGCTCCCATTTAGTACCAAAATCTACTTATTCTTCTATGACAAAAGAATAGTATACAAAATATGAGATACTTCATCATTTATCAGTAAGTCAAATCCTAGGCAATATTTAGAAGTACTTGTCACAGTAATGCATCTGTCAGCAGACTCTGTTTAGGATAAAAGCCACATAGATACAGTAACAAAAAAAAAGTTTCTATATAAAATCAACTTCCCAATTTTGACAAGTGACTTTATGGTCATGCCAGATTCTCTACACCCAGCAATCAAATGCTTTCTCTCATTTCTGCAAATATAATAATGTTTCTCCTTAAGAAAGCACTATCCCTACTGTCAGAAGAGAAAAAGAGTACTAAGTGGTGTTGTCCCTAAAGTTCTTTTGTCCTGCCATCAAATAGCATTACCTTTCATTTCCCCTTCAAACCCCCTTTTAAACTCAAAAACTGATCTAATTTTCAAAGTCAGGTGGTATTTGTATTATGCCTTCTGTTTTTCCTCTAAATTGACCTTTTGATTTGCAGACAAGGTGAGCCTCTGTCTCTGAGTATAGCAAACTGGGAATATGGTTTCTTGAAATTATTTCATTTTAACCAAAATCCATTATCACAAAGAATGGGCAGCCTGTGGTTTTCATCTTATGAAATTTTGTCTGTTAAGAAAGTCCTACCAAAAACATCTTAAAATAGTAATGTAGAATAAATGCTGGGAATGAAATTGTCAGATGGTCATTTTCCAGCTTATTTTCCTAAGGTTACTAACACAGAACATCTCAGGTAACATACTACAAAATAACTTAAGTACACTGTATACTACCTCTTCACCGTCTAAGCATCGTTATCTTAGAGGTAAATTTAAATTAACTTGCCATTTTAAAGACTTAAATAATAACAAAGCAAATAAGTCCCTGTTTTAAATTTTTCAGTCTTTTTAGGCCTTTTTTTGACCAACACATTGATAT